GTGGATCCAACAGACTCTTACAGCTGCTTTAGATGATGACATGTAGTAAATGTTTATCACAGCTGATGTCATCGTCACAGTATTACACAATAATATGTCAGATCACAAGTTTTTCTGATTTGGTGCCGCCCTAGTTAACAGAACTGATCATGGCAGCAAGTCCAGATCAGTGTTTTGTATGTTTTGTTGCGAGTAAACATTGGCACATGTGGCTCTGGCCCGTTTAGATCTTCTTACCTCACATTTCACCTGATGTACTGGTCCAGAAGTGATCCGCTCTTTCCTCTGCTGAATTTGTTTCTCTCATGTGAGTATTGTGACTCGGTGCTCTTTGCCTGACACTCTATAGGTTTAATAATACGTATATTTTCATAGTGAGAGGCCCTAAGCATCAGTAATAGATGATGTATTAACAGCAGCTGGTGGATATGTAACCTTGTTTCTGCAGCTGTGTGCAGAAAGACGGCGGCGTGGGTCAACTTGGTCTGATTTCTTCACCCTGCTGAATCTTCTGAGAGCAGTTGTTACTCCCACTTGTGCTTCAGATGAGACTTTTAGACTTTCTGTGGGCCGAATGAGTCTGTCTAAAAGTGTGACGCCATTTTCTCATTCAAAAGCCTGACGTAACTCTGAACAGCTTCTAACTTCCACTGTGAGGTCGCTTGAGCTAGCATGGAGAGGTCTCTGAACAAAATACTGATAACTTTTGGAGCCATTTTATTTCAAGATGGCTGCCACTGCTGCCTCAGAAAACGCAAAATTGACTATAATTCTGTCATTCTTTGACATTTTGAGCTGAAATTTGGTATGGTTGTAGCTGAGAGCGAGTTGTTACACATTCCTTATGCAAATTAAAAATCCAAGATGGCCACCTTAGCTAAAAGGGAAAAAGTACAGAAACTCAGGCCAACAAAGCTAATTTCAAATGGATATAACTCAGCTGTTTTTAAAGCTATTCAGCTGAAATTTGGTGTGTTGGTAGCTGAGAACAATCCACAATAGTCTCTGATTGCAAATCAAAAATCTAAGATGGCCGCCTGAGCTAAAAAGGAAAAATACCATAAATGAGCCATTTTTAGAGATATTAAGCTGAAATCTGGTGTGGTGGCAGCTGAGAGCAATGCCCAATAAATAATGGATTCAAATAAAAATCAAAGATGGCCACCAAAGCTACAATTAAATGGCTTTAATTCAGCTTTTTTTTTTTTACACTTGTCGAGCTGAAATTTGGTGAGGTTATAGCTGAGCACGTTCCCCATGACAAACTGAATCCAATTAAAAAACTCAAGATGGCTGCCATAGCTTAAAAGAAAAAAAAAATGACTAACATGTCAGTGTTTTACCATATTGAGCTGAGATTTGGTGATGGTAGCTGAGAGGGAACCCCAACACATTGCACTGTCAAATCAGAATTTCAAACTGGTCGCAGCGTGACAGTCCCAGTGAAAGTTTCTCCAGGAACTTTCTAGTATCAACTTTGTGTTCTGTGTCCACATTTTCTTTCTGCTGCTGCTGCGTATCATCTGAAGGTGACACCCACAAAGCTGTTTTATTCTCTGACTTTCTCACTGTTAACTTCTAGACTTTGGGTCAAAATATGGCTGTTAGCTTCACATTACTGCTGGGTAGGAAATACCCCAAAAATATTAGGCCCCCTCAATCTAAACTTGTCTTAAAAAAAACTGAAGAAAAATTAACAAGTGATCAAAAAAAGTTTAATGTGTGACATTAATCACTGGTTTGGTCAGCTTAGTCTGTTCTTCCTCTTCTTAATCACCCTCCAACATCACCTGTCTTCATCAAAGCTGTTCAATTAGCCCAGTTTCTAGTTTTATGTTTATTTTTGCACCAAATTATATAAATCAGTATAACGGAGAAAACATGAATATCACCAGTATTTAGTTTCCTTCTTCCCTCACTCATTTGGTGTCTCTGAGTACTCGCCAAATGTTTCCAGGCCAACAGAGGTGAGCGGGGCTCTGCCGTGGTTTTTAAGATGGAGGGAGTGAGCTACGATGCGTTTAAAGAAGCTGGGAAAAGATAAAATCGTAGTCGGTTAGATGCGGACAGCTAAGAATATATCCCAATTAAAATTTATATTTAGTATTTGTGATTAATCATTTTTAATTTGCATAAGAAAAAGAAATCAATAGTATTTTAGATATATTACCCAGCTATTTGTAATCTTCTGTTTTTGTAGTTTTACTCCAACTTTTGTTTGATTTGGTGATCATTTTGGCTGCATTAAAGCTTGCGGCAATAAACCTATGGAGGACATTGTCTTTTTGGTAAAACATTTGTAATCCAGTGTTTTTTTAGGCATGTTGCACCTTTTGGACACATTTGTGCCAAACGGTGGAGGAGTTCAAGTATCTGGGCATCTTGTTCCTGACTGGATGGGAGATGGAGCTTCCTCAGTAATGAGGGAGTTGCTTCGATTGGTCATGGTGAAGAAAGAGTTGCGTCTAAGGCAGAGCTCTGGATTTACTGGTCTGCCTTCCAAACCTCACCTGTGGTCATGAGATTTGGATCATGCTGAAAGAACCAGATCCTGATACAAGCTTAGGGCCGGGCTCTTAGAGACGGGGTCGAGCTGCTGCTCTTCTTCATTAAAAGGAGTCAGCTGAGTCGTTCAGGCATCATGTCTCCTGGACGCCTCCCTTTGGAGGTGTTCCAGGCACATCCCACTGGAAAGAGGTCCCGGGGCAGACCCAGAACATTCTGGAGGGAGTATCTTCTCTGGTCTGAGAACAACTTGGAGTCCCCCAGGAGGAGCTGGAAAGTGTCTCTGGGGTTCTGGGTTTCTCTCTTGGACCTGTTGTCTCCATGACCTGACTGTGGCTATTTGGCTGGAGATAGAGATGGCTTCAAACCATCATCTTTACCTGCTTCTTCCTTTCTGTGTAACTGGTGACCATATCCAGCAGTCACTGTGCGAGAGACGGGGACACCTGGACAGGTCTCCAGTCCATCACAGGGACACCTGGACAGGTCTCCAATCCATCTCAGGGACACCTGGACAGGTCTCCAGTCCATTGCAGGGACACCTGGACAGGTCTCCAGTCCATCTCAGGGACACCTGGACAGGTCTCCAGTCCATCGCAGGAACACCTGGACAGGTCTCCAGTCCATCACAGGGACACCTGGACAGGTCTCCAATCCATCTCAGGGACGCCTGGACAGGTCTCCAGTCCATCGCAGGGACACTTGGACAGGTCTCCAGTCCATCGCAGGGACACCTGGACAGGTCTCCAGTCCATAACTGGGACAATTTAGAGTCACCAATCGGCCTAACGTGCATGTTTTTGGTCTGTGGGAGGAAACTCACGCAGCACGGAGAGAACACACCCAGAGGTGGAGGTCCCTGGCCGGGATTTGATCCAACACCCTTTTTGCCGATAGGCGACAGCACTACCAACTGTAAATACATATATGTACTCATAAAAATGTTATGAATTTAGGATGTATGTAAAATTTTTATTTTACAAATGGAAGCTTTTTAATTTGACAGTTTCCTGTTTTATGTTTGTTTGTTTTTTTTGTTTTTTTTTTAAACGAGTGTGTCCACATGTTTAGGTTTACACACCACAAGTTCTTGTAGAAGAGTCAGGTTTATGTTGGGGTGCGGTAGCTTGGTGGTCAGCGCTGCTGTCTTGTAATCCAGAGGCCACAGGCTCGAGCCCAGTTTGCGTGAGGCAGGACATACAGTGTAAAACTGTTGCATAATCTTTCATTTGAGTTTGGTCGCTGTGTGTGTGTGTGTGTGTGTGTGTGTGTGTGTGTATGTGTGTGTGTGTGTGTGTGTGTGCATGTGTGCGTCCGCAGACAGTCAGGTGTCCTGGATTAAAGCCCTTAAGCCCTGACATGCCTTCAGAAGCTCAGAGGTTTTTGGGTCCAGTTGGTCATTCTGAGTTTTCTCTGCTCATCTGTTCAACGTCAGACTGTTTTGCTTGGATAGTTTTTGATCTGCAGTTTTGGGTTTGGATGACTTCAGACAGCATTTTGTTGATGACTACACCTCTCACTTCTAATTTTCATCAGCAGCTTTTAATTGGCTCTCAGCCTTTCTTGTCCGTCCTAATCCCCTCAATGTTGAGACGAAGCTGTTCTGTAAGCTGCCTTTAGCTGCGCTGCTCTCTTGTTTCTGAGAGGGTTTCTGCTGTTTAAACTCAAACATCTGCACGCCTTTATTTAGTTGAGCTTCATCCATTAAGAAGTCTTCCATGAATCTTAAGTATCAACTCATTCAATCTCAGAATGCACAGATAACAATGCAGCTATTTTGCAATTTAGCTCTATATTTAGGACACCTTAAAGGTTTTCTACCATGTCAATGTGCAGGAAACCTAAATCGTAGTTGAGTGGAACCAGGATGTGGGTTTAAAACCTGTTCGTAACCAACAGATTGGGTTTGTCACTGCTCAGTTCTTGTACAGATAGTGTGCAGAGCTGTGAGATCGTTTTCATCCTCACATTTAATGTATTTCTTAGACTAGTCTCAGCTTGTTTAAAATTTGAAATGTCAAAATAAATTGAATCCATGGAGCTGACACCAAAATAATACTGGTTCCACCATGCTGTTTGTAGTGAACCGCCCATGTCGTTTATTTAAAAATAACTCAAACCTGCATGCACACAGTTACCATCATGCTGCAGATCTTATCAGCTAAAATACGTTGAGGGCTGTTTGACTTCCGGCACTGTGAAGACTCCGGGTTTTTGTTCCTCCTTGTTGCGTTTCTGTACAACAGATCAAACTACCGAGTTTGTTCATTTAGGCTTTTAGGATGTGAGCCACTAGTTTGTCTCAGAAAATACAAATGTTTGCCCGCATTTTATTGACACTTGTACAGAAGCGTTTCCTGTCTGAGCAATGCTTTAAAGGTTAAATAAGGTTTGCATGCTCTTGTGTTTCTCACACTTTAAAACTAACGATGTACTTTTTGTTAAATTGCAACTGCTGGGAGTCCCGTTCAAACTGCATCTTTCCCTCCTCACAGGGAGCTCAGTGATGAATAAGCTACGGCAGAGCTTCCGGCGAAAGAAAGACATCTATGTGCCGGAGTCGAGCCGGCCACACCAATGGCAGACGGACGAGGAGGCGGTCCGCAGCGGCAAATGCAGCTTTGCAGTCAAGGTGACTCAAACTTAAACAATCTTTAAAAGATTAATTTTATGAAGACATAAACAGTGTGGTGCTAATCTCACTGTGGTATCCCTAAAAATCTGCTCGGTGTCTCCAAGGACACAGCTGTGATTAATCAAAATATTTAGAGAGCGTGAACACAGCTTCCATCTAGGTTGAATTATTTTCTTTTTGCCGAAGCCTCCCTAACCTGGAGAATGTCAGCAGAACAATTAATTTCAGTTTTCTACTTAAAAACCAAAAAGATAATTTCTTATGACTGAAACTTTAGGAAAACCTGCAGGCCTCCCTCTGACCTGCTGCGATCGATGAAGTGGAGAATTTGCGCTGTTTTGGCAACACAATCTTCCACTTTTGCAAACAGAAGTGCAACGACATGCTTCCTCTCATCACACGGCTCAGAATGTCGACCATGCCTGGAAAAGAAGGAACTGAAGACATAAGTGTTGTTTCTTTAAGATAAACGGCGTCTGCAGCTCTTCATCCAACGCACGTCCAAACACCAGGCTGTGCAGCTCAGCTTGATGCTGCCCGTCGTTTTTCTTTTTTTAATTTCATCTTTATTTAACCGGGCATGAACACCAAGAACAAATTCTTATTTGCAATGCTGGCCTGGCGGCACCAACGGATACTTGTAGGGTCAAGAGAAGGGAAACAATTTTTTTGGGCAAAACAATAAAATATAGAAGTCAATAACAAACAATGAGACACAAATTACATTAACAGTTCATTGTCAAAGTCAAACAATAAAATTACTCAGCATGAACACATTTGCAAGTATCTTTAAAAACAGCTGTTAAATGATTTTTAAAACTAGAAACTGGGACAAGTGAGTTCAGACAAAGTTTGTTGAAGCAGATTCCAGTCAGATGGAGCAGCAGAGCCAAAGCCAGACTCGGTCTTTACAGTTGTTAACCACAAATACTGAGAGGATCGAGTGTTATGCTTTGAAATCGATGCTAGTTGCAGTAGAGGAGTTAAATATGGAGGTGAATAACCAGCAACGTCTTATAAATGAGGGTAAACCAATGAATTTCATGACGAATATGTAGAGCAGGCCATTTAACGAGAGGGTAGAGATGATGATGTTCTATAAGGAGCCTTTGTAACAAAGCAAATAGCAGAGTGCTAAATTGTGTCCATCTTATGAAGGACACCTTTACAAGCATGTCTTTAAATTATGTCTCCATAATCCAACAAAAGTAGAATGGTTTTTTTCAACAGTGGTGCGTTTTGCAGCCATTGTAATGGAAGATCTATTTCCATATAGATAAGATAACCAAGTCTCACTTTAACCTTAGATTGTAAAACATTAACATGGTGTGAAAAGGACAGAGCACCATCAATCCAAATTCCCAAATATTTATTAACTGTTACCTCTTCTATAATATCACCGTTTTAAGCTCACCGACGTGGGTATGGTTCCTCCTCCATGACCGACCTACATAATTTTGGTTTTCTTGACATTTAAGGAAAAATTTAAGTCAGAAAAGACCTGCTGGATTTCAGTAAAACCACCTGCAAGGGACTTCACAACCTCATCTGAAGTAGAACCAAAAGCGTATCAAACAGAGTAATCGGCATATAAATGAATGGAGGCCTCACTAACAGAATGTGAGGTATCATTTATAAATAAAGCTGGACCAAGAATGGAGCCTTGGGGTACACCTGACATAACTAGAAGAACCTGTGAAGTACGAGTTTGATTTTTCCTGCAGCAGGTCTGCAGTGATGTTTCACATTTATCTGGGCTTTCATGGTTTCAGAGTTTCACTGTCTGTTTTTGACCTTCTGCAAACAGGATTTAGTGCTTTAACCCAAAGTACTTGACCTTCTTTAAAGTTTATAAATCATATTTTCACTCACATCCCTTCTTTTCATTCACAGCTCGATTCATCCGTTAGCAACTTCTCTTTCTTTCCTCACTATAACTGTGAAGTCTAATTTCTATTTTTCTGTTTTAAACTTATTTTTAGTCGGAATGACAGGAAGTGTAGTGAAAAATAAAAACAGCCAGTGGATTACCAAGGAGACATTGAAATGAATGAGGGCAGCATCTCTCCCAGCCTTTTCTAGTTTTCATAGTGATGGTGCAACGTTTCCTCCTCCTGTTCCTCCTCCTGCTCCCCTGACTCCCTCTCCAGGTGCCTCAGAGGAGACCAGGTGTGATATTATCACCAACAATAATTAAACAAATGGAGGTGGGCAGGAGGAGATGTGGAGATGTTCAGTGGTGTCAGAATCAGTGGTAATAACTATTTAATGTTGTGGGGGAAGGATTTTGTTGCTCTCAGAGTCAGTCAGAGTTTCTTTATTGTCATTCGCACCTCATGTGGTACATGTGGTGGAGCAAAATTATGTTCACAGGGTCCCAGTTACAGCCAACAATAAAATGTATAAGAAAAACAGTAATAACATCTAAGATATGAACTAAGAAAAACATCAACTAAATATACACTAAGCACTCATAACATAAAACATTGAACATCAGCACAAACATGAACATGAGTCTGTGAGCAGATGTGCACGCATGAACACATCAACATTGAAACAGATCAGCAGCAACATGAAACAGATCAGCAGCAACATGATATGGTTTTTCACAGTGATTATTCTAGTTAGAGATTCATGAGTCTAACAGCCTCAGGGTAGAAGCTGTTCCTCAGTCTAGTGGTTCTACACTTAATGCTCCTTAACCTCCTTCCTGAGGGGAGTGGGGCAAAAAGTGTGTGTGCTGGGTGGGTGGGGTCCTTCATGATGCAGGTGGCCCTCTTCCTGCATCTGGAGGTGTAGATGTCTGTGATGGTGGGGAGACTGACTCCAACAGATTTCTGTGCAGCCTTCACCACTCTCTGCAAAGCTTTTCTTTCTGCAGCTGTGCAGCCTCCATGCCACACATTGATGCTGGAGCACAGGATGCTCTCCACTGCACACCTG